TTAGGCCATATTCCTTCTTCATTTGCGTCTAGATGGGTAGTGGGGTACCAGGTAGTGGGGGTCCTGAGGGTCCCTAGGATACAGCAAGGTGAAGGTCCAGCCGATGCTCATGATCTACTTCACCATGCTGTTCCTTGATTAGGGTAATATTGGGGAGAATGGAAAAGCAAATGGAAACTACTATAATATAGGGTTTAGGGTTTAGGGTTTAGGGTTTGGGGTAATATTGGGAGAATGGAGAAGAAAATGGAAACCTTCGGTCCCTTTTAAAGGGATATATAGGTATTATATATGATCGACTTCACCATGCTGTTCCTTGATTGCCATTGGGGATGGATTTGCGTTATTCTCAAACTTAGGTAGATTTCATGTTACGGCACCTACTATCTAGGGGTATTGAAATGGGATCCCAATTTTGGAAACCTCCTATTTGTTGGGGCCGGGGATTGGTGATATATAGGGTTGAAGGGGAGTGGGGTGAAGGGTTCAGGGATAAGTGTTAGGTTTTAGGGATATCAACCCAATAACAAAGATTCAAGTAAAACATGGAACATTACATGGGCACTGCTTTTTTAATGAGGGGGGTGGCCCCAGCAGAGTAGTGCCGGTTGATTTGAATGCTGTCCGACTGGCAGTTTGCGAATCTAAATCCTAAATCCCTAAAACAGGGCACTTTTTTTTAATTCGTATATGTTGTATCGAAGCAAAGCATGCTCTGTATGTCCAGCCCCAGCTGAGGATTTTCATCATTTCCATCTCTGTGATGAACCTTGTAACTGCCGCCTTAGTTGAAGGGACTCTGGAGAATGCTCGCATGCTGCGGCAGGAGGAGGAGAGGCATACAGTTGAGAATGGAGGATGCTTGGGATTGGCAGGTGCTAGGGACTTGGAATTCACGCATTCAGTATCTGCGTGTTTGAAGTTCAGGATTTGATCGTTCCCTGGATCTTGCGAGCAGGGGCGTTGCGTGGCACTTGCAGGATTACGGATTTGGGGCATGTAGTACTCATCCCGACGTGCAGCAAGAAACGTTCCAGCACGTTCCTGTCAAAGAACGCGTTCTGTTGCGTGCATTTATCCTAATCCCCGTAACGTGTCGCCTAGTTCCGAACCATTGGTTGGGTGTATGTACAGGACAGATCATGTTCTTTGGAGTGCGGGGTGAGCTGTTTTGTACTCAACACTCAGCAAAGGGATTCTCAAAGTACTCCGTGTCAGTAACCGTGGAATCCACCTAAGCCCCACACCCTAAATCTCCAACCAAGAAGCCTAAACCCTAAACCCAGACAGGGACACCCAAGCTATGACCAGATGACATCCTATAGTCTCTTATCATTGCGGGTATTAGCCTGTAAGGTTTAGGGTAATTTAATCTACACGCCATTCATCATCTCGGGGTTTCCCGAAGTTTCCGCTACATAATCCCTAAACCCTAAACCCCAAACCCTAAACCCTAAACCCCAAACCCTAAACCCCCAACCCTAAACCCTTAACCCCAAGAATCCCCAAGCCTCCCTAAGGTGCCCCCTACTTTGAGACCTCCAAGTCTCCGTGAGGACAGGATAAAGAGCGCCCAAACTCAGCAGATGCTGCCGGAGATCATGGATCTTGGGCTGAAGTTGAAGGTTATATAGGGGTAATGGAAGAGAAAATGGAAACTACTATAATGGGATTATATTGGGGCTTATGTAGGGATAATGGAAAAGAACATCGAAACTACTGTAACGGGATTTTATAGGGTTTAGGGGGTTCTACTAGGGTTATATTGGGGTTATATAGGGAACTACTATAATGGGGTTTTATAGGGTTTAGGGGGTTATATTAGGGTTATACTTAAGAGCCTCCGGCTCAGTCCGCCGACCCAGAGGCGGAGAAAGCACGAAAGCCTAAACGCGAAACCTTGAGGGTTTTCAGCGGCTGGCACGAGACCAATAGATAGGCGCAACAAG